AGAGTAAGAGTGTTGTCTAGTTTTGTTTTTAAGTTTTGTATCTTGTAGATAGCCTAAAATTTAAATAGGTACTCGAAAACGTCACCTATTTTGAGCAATCTGCTATTGGGTATATCAGAATGATGAGCATAATTCTTGCTGTTTAGTTTTTCATTAAATGATGCAGTATCTTCTTTGGTTTTACCACATATTTTATTTGATGATACTCTCTTTTGGTGGAAAATCTAAAAAAGAATTTCATCCAAAAATTTCTGTAAAAAATATTGACTGAACTAAAAATGTCAGGGAACTTCTGGCAGAAACTGTGCCATATATTTAAATTACTTGTTATGATATTTCTGCAATATTTTGGAATTTGTTTAAAATTTTTAAATTTTAAAGTTTTTCCTGCTTTTTTATTCTAAAATATTTTTTCTTCATACACAATTATTTATATTTTCTGTTTTAGTAAAAAGTAAAGTATGTAATTAGAATTTGATATTTTGTTTCTATAAGTGCAAGCCCTTTGTTAAAATTTTCAGAGCTCTCCACCAGACATGTATTAACTCCTTATTATCTTGTCCTAATGCTAAAAATAATGATGCAACCAAATTATAGAAACTGATGAAAATGTATTCATTAAAAAAATAAATACATAAAATCTGAAGGCTTTCAGATTTTACATTATGCACAAAGGGGTGGTTTTTTAACATTTTGTGTGTTACCTTTATTTATTAAATATCATGTTTTTCACACTTGAACCATAAAATTCAGTTCAACAGCAATATCACAAAATAATTTTAAAATAAGCATATCTTTAGAATTTCCGATACAGTCTTGTGCGCTAGAGATAAAAATGTCACTCCCCCCCCATACAGTGTTGCCATTGCTTGCTTTGAAATTGTTGAGTGTGTTAATCAAAGATTCGCTCATGTTTACCAAAATATAAAATAGACAATAAAACAAAATCCAAATTTGGGCTTCCAGATGCCCATATTCGGGTGGAAACACATTATTCAAAATAACTTGATGGCCCTAGGTACCATTGTTTTATTACAATGTGAGAAACATACATACATTTATGCACATTCTTCATTATTTAATTTCTTTAAATATAACACAGGGTGATAATATCTAGTGCCAACAATTTGAAAAGTGAACTGACAGTTACAGTGAATCAATGCAAAATGCGAAAGTGAAATTAATAGTCCCTCCTCCTTTGGACTAAAAAAAAAAAAAAAAAAGAAGAAGAAGAAGGCTGTGTTTTCTTTCTCCACAGAGGGTTTTTTCATGGAATTAGAGAATATTCCTTGTTACCCTTTTCCACTGTTAAATTTTGTCTGAGCCAGAGACCAAATAAGCCAAAATGCATCAATATGTAAATACATGGTATGGTTTAATGAAAAAGCATCAATAAAAGTTATGTATTTATACAGGTAGCAAATAAAAAATGATGCTTAGAAAAATTATTTATTTATTTTAGGTGCCATAAAATTCTTGAAAAGAGAATTAAGTGTAACTACTCTTATATACGGCTTCACTTGGCAAGAAACTCCACGATGCCATACTACTATATAAATTTTTGTCTACATTTTGAACTTTAAAATGTCTCCAAATATGCGGTTTTCTCACATGCAAAAACCACATTTTGAACACACAATTTAAGCTAAAAATCCGAAACAAAACCAAAAAATTTAGATAGCAAAAATGTAAAGTTTCTAACCAAAAATATTTGACAAGAATCCATGTACACAGCGGTATGTTTTAATTTAAAAAAACATCTATTAAGTGCACAAACTAGACAGCGAAGGAATCCACGAACTACACACACCTTGCTTTAATAAATTACTATAAGAACAATAAATTTCAAAGAATACCATGCACACAGCATTCTGTTTCTTAAAAAAACATCTACGAATTGCACAACCTAGGCATTGTGCATAAATCAACAAAATAAACTAAAATAACTAAAATTATATACAATTTAAAAAACAACAATAACAACAGGAATTCATAGTCAAAAAACAATGAACATAACATTCTACAAAATAAAAACAATAAAATAAAATGCACTTACCACAATGGATGCTTCTTCGAACAGCAGATGCCGTCACATACTCTCTACGATATTTTTATGAGAGCCAGACTCGCTATCCACAAAATTGATAGGTTAATCGTTGGATTATGGTAACTTGGCGTTTTTTTGGCGAAAATTTGACAGCCAACCCTGCTACAGTAACCTGCTAGTTTTTTTTTTTTTTTTTTTGACGCCATTTTGTTTTCACGAAGTAAAAGGCATTTTTTTTTTTTTTCCTCAACATTTTTTTTACAACAATCTGCTAGTCGAATTATGCTTATGCTAGAACTTTTATGGAACAAAAGTGCTTAATCATGTCGAAGATTAGGTGCGAAATTGGGAGAAAGTGCAGAATCGCCCGCTGCTTGCCGCGTTTTAAAGAATTGCACATACAACACGGTTTCCATGTACACGTTGACCTATTTTCACTTTAAAAAAATCCCAGAATTGCAAAAAAAAGGCATTGCGCACACTTTTGGCTTTATCCATATACACTGCTAAAGTCCTAGCTAGTAACCTTTATCGCCTCAACAAACAACCTGTTACCATATTCCAAAGATTAGTCAATTGATACTATGGTACACGAATAAACGTTCAAAACTTCTTTTCCTAAACTTTGGACACAATCTAAAATACGTGACTGAAATCTTGCCACCACATCTTTCATTGCAACATAAGCTATTTCAAAACACGCACAACATGAACCAACGAGCAATTAAACCACTGCAGCAAAAGAGTTAAGTTTCAACGTCAAAAGGGTTTCCATACAAACAACATTGTCCCTAAAACCATCGCAAAACACATATCGCCACTTTTGGTGATCTTAGGGCATATATAAGAGTAGAGCCAATTAAGTTACATATAATTATTTTGAATAGAGTGCTCTGAGTGGAACATTTCAAAGAAATCTGTATACACACAATCTGTACTCATACTCACATACATGAATAATAGCATTCTATAAATTATATTTAGAAATAAAAATAGTTTGAAACAAAGTCAATGCCACAGCTATGCTGATAATTTTGGCACTTTCCCTTAAAGCCATACCATCACATTTGGCATCATATTGCCACATTTGAGCTTATTTCTTTTCCTACATCATTGGTTCAACATTAGATGAAATGGAATGATCTGAAACAGCAACAAGAAAACATTCTTATAATTTCATAACAAAACCGTTCACAAAACTACCGTGGGAGAAGAATAAGACTATGTTATTTATTTTCCTTTAGTGAATATATTTTCATCAATTTTAATGCTGCAATAAGAAATCCAATCAACTGTTGTGTTCTGACTTATATAAAACAAGCATTAGCTAATAATGCTCCTTAGATGTTAACTCCTGATGCTATAAGTAAATGAGTCCGTAAGTTACAAAAGAAATGCGTGTTCCAACAAACCACACTGAGATTTGGAAACTTTTTAATTTCCAACATGAACAAAGGCCGCATATTCAAATACAGACAAAAGTCATTAATTCGGACACCCGGAATGATCTATAATCTGGACCTCAAAGCTACAAACTTTCTGCGCATGCCTCGCGTTGATGCATGCGCGTAAGACCTTTACGGCTGCGAATATGCGTGTGCGCATGCGCATAATACGTTTACGCATGCGCATTTAATGTATAACGGACGGTATAAGCTAAGTTAAAATTATCTAATTCAGTTAATGTTGCAGATTGCATTGTTCCTTAATCTTCGAATTGGATCGAGCTTATTATTTTTTGCAGAAATGTTAGAGCAATTTTATAAAAGTAAGCTTGAACTTTCGATTATGTCAAATAGAATTTCCGATATATATTTACTAAAATGGAAAGAATCTACAAAGCAAAAGTATGTTTCGAAGTCCATTAAACAAAAAGTGGAATTGCTGCAAAAAATGGATAAAGGCATAATCCTTTGTTTATCTAACCATTCCGAAATCTGTTTATCAATTTCAGGCTGCTCTGCCGAGGGGAAGAGGGGAAGAACGCCGCGGCGCGCAATGAATTGGAAGTTGATCTGTCAGCACTATCCTTATCTTCAAGGCAGATGTTTTTATTTTATTTGGCTTATAATTCCTTACTAAATGTAGTATTTCATCTCAATGTACTCCATCTTTGATATGATTTAAATCAAATTCCTCGTCATTATAATTCGCTTCCGATAGTGACTAAAGTGACACAGAGGTTATTGAAAATGAAAAAATTTCGATTGACAAATTAGTCGGTATTCTCGACACAGCAATGATAGGACTTCAACAGCGGAACTTTGTAACTGAACAAGAAATTATGTCTGTTTATAGAATTAAAGAGAAAGTATTATCACATAAAATGAGCAACTTAAACAACTTACACTAAAAGAAATGTTTAATAAAGTAAACAAATAAATATTAAGCTTTTTTTTGTAAATTTTGATACCCTTTAGATCATAATTGTTCTTTATTTAATAAATTATGGTTTCATATTTTTAATTTTATAGTTTCTGCATGCCATCTTACCAGATTTAAACTGATGATCTATAATCCGGAATCGCCGAAGTCCCGACGAGTCCGGATTAACGACTTTTGACTGTATAATCTTTGTGAAGAATATCTCGTCTTGAAAAATTAAGATAACAACTTTCTAATCTCTTGGCAAACCACCATAAGTCATAAAATTCATTGCAGGGGTAAATAAAAAATAAATAAATAAAAAAAAAAAAAAAAAAAAAAAAACCTGATTAAATGACAAACTGGTTAAAAAACAAAAAAGCACAAATTGGTACAGCTTTAATATAATATTACTCAAATTTTAACATCTGAAACACTCAAAAAAGTTATCCTTCTCCTTTACCTCAGCCAAGAATCTCAGCTGGTTTTCTCAATAAAGCTTTAGTTAAAGTTAAGTTGCTGACCTAAAACTAATCAGCAAAAAAAGAAAAGCAATTCAAAATATGCAAAACTCATAAATTTTACATACCAGGTGAAACAATAGATTTTGGATCATCCATGTCAAAGGCAGCAGTGTTTCCTATTGCAAAACCATACCCAGAATGGACATCTGGCAGTCCAATAGAGCGCTAAACAAATAAAACAAAATTTTACAATTTTTCCAATATAACTATGCAAAGATTAACAAAAATAAATCACTTTGAATATATTTATTATAAATCTGATACATCTTTAGATTTACACAAAACATTCAGCTAATCCTATTTATAGATGCTGAAAAGGAGAGAATTCAAAATTATGGGCCATATTCTCAACCTAAAACAAAAGCTACCAAAGTTTATTCATTAACTCTAAATTATCATACTTAATGATGCTAAAAGCCCTCTTGTTAAAGGACAGAGCCAAAATAGCAGCCATATTTGCAGTCCTCTGCAAACCATCTCCAAATAGCCAGCAGTTTTAACTTTTGTTACTTATAATCGGTTGCAGACACTTAGCCGACGGGACACTTAACCGACACCAGTTAGCCGACAAGACATTTAGCCGACAAGGACACTTAGCCGACATGGGCACTTAGCCGATAGGACATTTAGCCAACACGGAAACTTAACCGACAGGACATTTAGCCGACACAGACAGTTAGTCGACAAGACATTTAGCCGAAAAGGACAGTTAGCCGACTGGACATTTAGCCGACACGGGCAGTTAGCCGACAAGGACACTTAGCCGACAGGACATTTAGTCGACACAGACAGTTAGCCGACAGGACATTTAGCCGACGGGACATTTAGCCGACACACAGAATTCAACGTCAGGGCATTTAGCTACGGGACAGTTAACTGTCAAGACATTTAGTCAACAGGACACTATTTTTTCACCTATCAGTAAAATTCAGTTTTTGATTCTTGAAGATCTCATACATGATTTTAATTATTGTGTTAATTTAGCATTGTTTGATACTTATCATGCTGTTTGGTGTATATTGGCCAAATTGAAAAAGCACTGAAATTTCTCGTCAGGGAATGCGAATTAAATTTCGAAAAGAAAAAATAATTTTTTAGCTAAGTACGATGGTCACTTAATTACATTTTAATATGGGATCTTCAAAAATTAAACATAATGCTTCTTCATTTAACCAACTGGGTATTTTTGAACACTTTCACATGATTATCAATTTCCCTTGTTTACTTAATGATAATAATTTTCCAATCTTGCTCTTCCAAATGCTTTCAAATTTCTAATATCTTTACGTTTCATTAATATTTTACTCATCACATCATGTTACATTCTTTCCCTTACAAAATCATTTGGCTCCTCCAGCTATTGAAATTTCCTTTTCCTGTCTGATGAAGCGACACAATTGCAGATGTAGGTATCCAGCCATTGCCTTACCCTGTATATAGCGAGTGAAATTACTGAGCCGACACAAACTTTTTCTGTGCTAGCATTAAATTCAGGAGATTTGAATGCAAAGCATTCGAATACCATTTTAGCGAAGTAGGAGGGGATGAGCAATTATATTCATAGGGAGCAATTATAGTTATCTGGCAGATACTGTTTAGGCATAGCTTGGTTGTAGGAATATCGTGCGAGAATCCGCAGTGAGGTGGGATCATTCATTTCGTGTTACGAAGCGCAGTTACTTGAGAGACATCGTAGGCTAGACTGAACTGGCTGCTATCCTCAGCGCAGTAGGAGTAGACCGTTCTGAAAAATCTGAATAATGCAATAAAAATTATTGTTATTCTTGAATTATACTTTTTTATAGAAACATATGGCGGTGAGGGTTAGTTTAGCAAATATACTTTATTTTGTTATTAGAAACAATTAAAAAAGTGAATTTCCAAGACAAGCAAAGGTATAAATTATTTGTGACCTCTATAATTTGCAGTTCATGTCACCATACTTGAGATAAAAATATTGTGACATTTTATTGACCACGCCTCTCACTTAAAATACTTACTTAGGTTAATGTTTATTGCCCTAAACTAGTTCATAATGTTTAATTTAGAAGTAAAATATTCGTTCAGGTTTTGTTTTTTTCATAACTGAAGCTGCAGAAGGGGGCCACAAAGTAGGGCGGAGCAAAGTGACATATCATGAAAAGTCACCGTTATATAGTGCCATCTAACGATGCTAGATTTAACTATATCTGTCATGTAAATAGATAATATTATTTACTATGTTTTGAAAGTTGTGACGTGTAATTTGCAATATATGTTATATTAATGTTTTTCTTATAAAATATAACTTTTCTCAATATATGTTAAAAATGTATAAATTTTCATTTCATTTCTCATTATTCATTCCTTCTCTTTCTCATTTTTGGTTTAGCGGCCACCTAACGGAAGTAAGTGTGATTTATGTAATTATGACAAAGCCAGAGGGCTATTTGCCTGGGGAGGGATGCCTTCGTGGAGGACTTTCTAAGGAAAACTGCTTCGTATACATGTTACACATGGGAAAAACCACGAAAACAGCCTGTCTGTTCGCGGGATTCAAATTCAGACTGAACTGCCAGTGTTCAGTAACTTTACCGCTCAGCAGCTGCTGAGTCTAACAGAAATAGACTGACCGTTTTACCTAACACATAAAAAGTCTCTTCCAATGAAAATTGCCTTTTTAGGCGAGAGCTTTATTAATACATTCAGGAAAATGGGCACCAAAAATTTTCCCATTACCATGTAGCTAAACCAAAAACAAGAAAGAAAAGGAATGAGAGAAAGAAAAAAAAATAAAATGAATGAAAAATGAAATGAAAATTTATACATTTTTAACAGATATTGAGAAAAGTTATATTTTACAAGAAACACATTCATATAACATATTATGTTACTTTTCAGTTTTGCCGGCGCAGACGGTAAAGTCGCCAATAATGGTATGACCGATGCCAAATGGAATATACTCGCTGGTAAACTTTTACTGTTCATTTTCAGAACAAGTCGCAGTCATTTCTTATCAGATTGATTGTTTCTTTCAGTACTGGCATACGATTACATAGAATTTTTATCAGATAGTACAATTTTATGCTCTAAGGCCATTTGTGGTAATTAAGTCAGTTAGAATGCAATCACACCGCTTACCCAAAGGTGAAAATATAGAAAAAGCAAAGTCAAGGGTTAAATTCATCAATTCTAATTGAGAATGCACTAGTGAAGTAAAGCACTGGGGTTTACATAATTTCTGAATTATACTGTTCGTATGAATTGAAGTAATTCTTGCATTTAAACTAGTATTCCAAATTAAGAGTTAACTTGAAATTAATGAAGATAATTAGAGAGAATTATACTTTTGTAGCGTAGTTTGTGTGAGATGAGATCATTTGGGGTCACGTGATATGAACTGCCAAATCAGGATGTTGAACCATGAAAGCATAGTAAATTCTTAAATTAATGTCTTTTTACAAATTTATTGGCTTTTTAGAAAATTTTAAACGGTATTAAAATGTTTATGCCTTCAAAATAAAAAAATTCTTAAAACTAACATTTGCTAAAACTTTTTATGTGTATGTTGTCGCTAATAAAGCCTGCTTGGCAAGATCTGCGCCGAAAATTACACATCGCGACTTTCAAAACATAGTACATAATATTATCTATTGACATGACTGGATCTAGTTAAATCTAGCATCGATAAATGGCACTATATTATGGTGACTTTTCACGATCTGACACGCTTTGCTCCACCCTACTTGGTTTGTGGCTGCCTCCTTTTGCAGCTTTAGTTATGAATAAAACAGAACTTTAAAGAATATTTTACTTCAAAATTCAACATTAAGCACTAGTTTAGGGCTATAAACATTAAAGTATGTAAGTATTTTAAGCGAGACGCGTGGTCAATAAAATGTTAGAAAATTTTTATCTCTAGGATGGTGGCATGAACTGCAAATTATAGAGGTCACAAATAATTTATACCTTTGCTGATCTTAAAAATTCACTTTTCTAAATTGTTTTTAATAACAAAAAATATATTTGCTAAACTAACCCTCACCGCCATATAGAAACGTTTCTATAAAAAAGTATAATTCAAGAATAACAATAATTTTTATTTCATTTTTCATGACAGAGAAAGGAAATTTCATTAGTGGGAGGAGCCAAACAATTTTTTAAGGGAAGGAATGTAATACGATGTGATGAGCAAAATAGTAATGTAACGTAAAGATATTAGAAATTTGAGTAAACAAGAAAAATTTTTAATGATGTGTAAGTTGATTAAATGAAGAAGCTTTACGGATAATTTTTGAAGATCCCATATTAAAATGCAATTAAGTGACCACTGTACTTAGCTAAAAAAATTCTTTTTTCTTTTGAAATTTAATTCATATTCCTTGACGAGAAATTTCAGCATTTTTTCAATTTCGCCAATATACACCAAACATCACGATACATATCAAACAATGCTAAATTAACACAATAATTAAAAGCACGTACGAGATCTTCAAGAATCGAAAACTGAATTTTACTAATAGGTGAAAAAAATAACTTCAATATTGAACTTGGAAGTCCAGAAATCTTGTATTTGATTGTAAATTTAAATAATTATTAGGTACACGTCAGCTAAACATCACTGTCGGCTTCGTATCCTGTTGACTAAATGTCTTGACAGTTAACTGTCCCGTAGCTAATTGCCTTGACGGCGAATTCTGTGAGTCGGCTAAGTGTTCTGTAGGCTAACTGTCCATGTCGGTTAAATGTAATCTAGGCTAAGTGTCCTTGTCGGCTAAGTGTCCCTGTCGGCTAAATGTCCTGTCGGCTAAGTGTCCGTGTCAGCTAAATGTCCTTGTCAGCTAAGTGTCTTGTCGGCTAACTGTCCGTGTGGCCTAAATGTCCTGTCGGCTAAGTGTCCGTGTCGGCTAACTGGTGTCGGTTAAGTGTCCCATCGGCTAAGTGTCATGGACCCACTTATAATCTGCCTGCTATGAAAACAGCTTTAAGTAAATTTGTTGCTTTTGTTGGTAAAAGTATATTTACAGGTATCCCTAGGCAAAATTTGGTGGTACGTGGATACCGAGTTTGTGCAATTCTTCGACTTGTTATTTTGGCTTGTGTAGTGGCAATCTTTGGCACAAAAATCGCCGCTACACAAAGCCAATATAACAAGACAGAGAATTGCACAAACTCAGTATCCATGT